ATATATATATATATATATAAATCCTGGTTAGGTGGTCGGGTTGACCCGAGACCCCGCCGGTTAGCTTGGGAAAGAAAAACTTAAAAGAATTAGAAAAGAAAAATAATTTGTACAGAATGTTTGCCGAGATTTATTGTCTCAAGATATCTATTATTGTATGCTTCTAGTTGTGACTAAGGTGAATTTSGTGTAGCCCATTATTTATTTTTAGTGGAGTTTTTTACTCYGGTCCGTGATTTATGTGTCTTRTGCTTGTTTGAATTATTATTCTTACTTGATATTTCCTATCAAGTTCACACAAGATGAGATAATTGGTCCATAGAATAAAGTATTTATCTCAACAAAGTGGTATSAGAGCGAGGTTGAAATTAATTAGGCCTTTTGTTGAACATGGAAACTAGTACAAGTAGAATGGTGACTTTGACTGACTATAATTATCAAGTTTTGAAAAGAAAGATGGAAGATGTTTTGTATGTGAGATTTCTATCATCTTGTTTTTTCACTTGAAAGCCTGAAGATAAAACTTATTTAGAATGGGAAATCTGTCATAGAAAAGTATGCGGCTTTATTAGGTATTTGGTAGAAGAAAATATTCTAAATTTTATTGAAGAAGAAACACATGCATTGAACTTTATGGAACAAGCTTGAGCCGTTATATGACYCGAAAACTAGTAATAATAAAATGTTTCTGATTAAGCAAATGATGGCTTTGAAGTATCAAGATTTAACAACTATGTCAGATCACTTGAATAATTTCCAAGGTATCATTAATCAGCTTGAAGGAATGAATGTCAAGTTKAAGGATGAGATACAAGGGTTATGGTTTATTGGTACATTGTCGACTCATGGAAGACTTTTAGAACTTCGTTATGTTCAAGTAGTGTTCTAAATGAAGAGATGAGAAGAAAGTCGCAGACTCTTCATCAGTGTCAGAGGTTCTTGTTACTGAAAGAAGGTGGAGGAGTAAGAGCAAAGGTCCGAAGGTAAAGACATAAGCAAATGTAAGAGCAGTCGGTTTGCCAATGTTGAGTATGTTCATTGTGGCATGAAAGGGACAAAGAAATATTGTGGACAATTGAAGAGGGAAAATAAAAATGATACGAGTTAGGAAAAGAAGAATGATGATGTTAATAACGTAGATAGAGTTGTTATAGCTACTGATGATTTCCTTATTATTTGATGATGATGTTATCAATTTAGCTACACAACACAGTTGTTGGGTTATTGATAGTGGTTCGTCCATTCATGCTACATACAAGAGGGATTTCTTTGCATCCTACAAATTTGGTGATTTTGGCAGTGTTAAGATGGATAATGATCGATCARCTAAAGCCGTTGGTATTGGTGATGTGCACTTGGAGACCAAGAATGGTACTACGCTGGTTTTGAGGAATATGAAACATATCCTTGATATTCATATGAATTTAATCTCCACAGGTAAGCTTGATGATGAAGGTTTCTACAATACCTTTTATGATAGCAAACGAAAGCTTACTAAAGGCTCCATGGTTGTAGCTAAGGGAGAGAAGTGTTACTCACTGTATTTGATACAAGCAAAGGTTACTGATTCCGACATAAATAAAATGAATGATGAAAAGAGTGTTGAACTTTAGCATAAGAGACTCAGTCACCAAAAAGAATCATCTTGATCTTTCTAGTATAAAGAATGCACTATTGAAAAKATGTGATCATTGCTTAGTAGGGAAGCAAACTTGGGTTTCTTTTTAAGGCATCTCAGTACTCAAGGAAGCCAAATATACTTGACTTGGTATATTCTAATGTATGTGGTCTATAAATACTAAAATACTTTGAGGTTTCTCATATTTTGTGACATTTATAGACGATCATTCAAGG